AATCAGATCATGAAGAAGGAAACCACCAGCCCTCACCATCTTGTCAGAAAAAGCCTCAACATTTGGCAGGCGATCAGGAGAACAAACTGCGACACTTCCAACTTTTGGACTGCACAGCTTGCCCGACCTGCCCAGGCTGGTTTGTTGAATGCTTGTTAGGTTTGTGTGCCAGCTCACGGATGTGTTTGTTGTGTTTGTTGGTGCACTGTACTGGAACTCCACTGACTGATGAGTAGTCGTATGTATTGTAATATTGAGTGTTTGTGTCTTTGGACAATGATGATTTGGGTTGGGAATAAATTGTTGATGATAGGTACTAATAGTGGCTGAGGCCATTTCTGCATCCACCACGACTAACCAATGCAGTCTAGTAGCAAGTTGAGTTGGTGGGACTTACATTATATATACACAACAAACTCTACTTACTATTTATTTATTCAAGGGAGGACCACACAATTCATTTATTAACATTCCTCATTGGTCAACGCATTGTAAATTGAAAGGACACAACAATCAGAATTCAGGGGGAGTGAAATCATTTAATTAACATATATATATATTATATAGTGGCAGGTGATGAACATTGGCACTGAGTTTTGGCTGGTGTTCGACGCTCCATATGTCCAGCTTCGCGTGTGGCCTTTGAAAGTTGAGAATGTCGAGGGGGGCAACGAAAAGACCGCCTTCCTGGACCTTAGCTCATGGCAGCTTCAGGCCATTGGACGTCTACTCCAAGTTTGTTCTTGGACAAGTGTTGTGTGTGTGCCCCTTGTAGTCACAGGGATTCGTTTGAATTGTTTTTGTCCTTAGCAGGGGGGCAATGAACACTTTGGAAGGCATTGCCCAACGAAGACCCTTCCATCGTGTTGTGATATTCCTGAGGGACGCCTCGGGAACGTACCTGCAACAATTTTTAAAGTTTGCGGCAGTCACGCACGGAACGCCGTCACTTCGACCTGATCGCCGATCTCGACCTTGTGCTTTGGGCCTCCTTTCCTTTTAAGACCTCCAGGATTCGATGGCTTCCTACTGGTACTCTTAGGAAATGGAGCCCTAGGCCGGCGTGTGGCACCGCTTTCAGTTCCGTATCCATAAGTGTGTTTGGCCTCGTGCCAATCCGTGATGAGCCCGCACCTCCTGTAGACCCGTCGAACGGGGGTTTGTCGTTATCTCCCCTGCCCGGAGATGTAAGTGCCCAGAGCGGGCGTAGGTGGCCTAGGCCGAGAGAATTCAGATTTTGTCTCATCTTTGGAATTCCAAGTTGGTTCATGCCTTTACGTGACCGCAGCGGTCGAAGCAGCCAGCCATATTGGCACGGCGTACGTGGCCGCAGCGGCCGAAGTTTGTTCAAGGTTCATTGGAACCTGTCGCGAGCTTAGTCCCCCCTCCTCCCTCTTCCCTTCCCCTTTCTTTCTTTGCTTTCTGGGGTTTTCCTGAATGGAATACTCAGGATCTCCCCTCTCTTTCTTTGGTGTGTCCCTGGACGATTGTTCGTAGCTGGGAACACCTTCCTTTCTCTCCTCTCCCTTTCTCTCCCTCTCTCTTTCTTTCCTTCTCTCTTTCCTCTCTTTACCCTCTTCCTTGGGTGTCCCTGGATGCTTTCGTCATAGCTGGGAACCCTTTTCCTCTCTTCCTTTGGTGTGTCCTTGGACGCTTGTGTCGTAGCTGGGAACACCTTCTTCACCTTTCCTTTCTTCTCTTTCTTTTTCTCTTCTCTCCCTACCCCTCCCTCCCGTCACGACCTTAGTGTGGGTTGCTACTAGGGGCTCCTGGCCTTACTACTAGGACGCTACTTTGATGCTTCTAGGGGTTCCTGGCCTTACTACTAGGCGCAAGGACGCTCTAGGGCAGAGATGCCTCCCCTCGGGGAGGCGTGTGTGTGTGCCCCTTGTAGTCACAGGGATTCGTTTGAATTGTTTTTGTCCTTAGCAGGGGGGCAATGAACACTTTGGAAGGCATTGCCCAACGAAGACCCTTCCATCGTGTTGTGATATTCCTGAGGGACGCCTCGGGAACGTACCTGCAACAATTTTTAAAGTTTGCGGCAGTCACGCACGGAACGCCGTCACTTCGACCTGATCGCCGATCTCGACCTTGTGCTTTGGGCCTCCTTTCCTTTTAAGACCTCCAGGATTCGATGGCTTCCTACTGGTACTCTTAGGAAATGGAGCCCTAGGCCGGCGTGTGGCACCGCTTTCAGTTCCGTATGCATATCCATAAGGTCAATCCTGTCAAAGGGTTACTGGTAGCAAGTATTCAGACTTTTGGATCAGTTTGCTATGATTGGCAGGCGATTTCTTTGGAGAAGCCCTTGGACACCAATGTTGTCCCTTTCAAGGTAGAAGGCATTTCTTCGGGCATCAAGCTGGTTCTGCAGACAGGCCAACCATTGGTCAACTATGCACTTGAGAACTACGCTCACAGTGCCTTGGCAAACAAAGTGTGGGGTTGTGCAGGGTGGGGTGGGAGCAGGAATATCTGCCAGTCAGGAATTGAGTGATACAGGAGTTTTGGTTCAAGCCTGCTCTTGGCCCCATCTGTTTCTTTCCTACATTCCTCAATGTCGATGCCGGAGCTTACCCGTGATCGAAGCCGGTCACCACTTCGTGATGGCAGTCATGGGAGTCATGGGGATGAACCAGTCCCAATCATTGTGGTGAATGATGAGCAGGATGAAAACGACTCTCAGGAAGAACCTGAGAATCGCGATTGGTCAGTTGAAGGGCAGCTCTTTATGATGGTCAACCATTGGATTAATTCAGGGATTACCGCTGGTGAGCTTTGTAGAAAAGTTGCATTTTGGCGTAGAGAGTTGGAGGCCGATTTGGTTCCAGAGCGGAGCCAAAGACTCAGCCAAAGCGCAGGTTCATCCCAGTAGCTTTGCAGAACTGACTTGTTTACAGCTTAATTTGGATTTCCAGATTGGTGTGGCTGTGGAATTTCCATCGCCATTGCATCAATTGATGGATTGCACATTACTAACTATTCGTCCTCGACATTTACTGCACATTGGAGGTGATGAAAATATTGCCAGTGATAAATTGTGTTTGTTACGATTGACAACCTCTTTAATTTGGTATGGGTATCCCTCTAACTAGTAATCCGGAGATTGTTTTTCATGCCATGGAACTGCTGCGTGGCATTGTTTGAATTGACAGATCGGTGCATTGATTCATTACTGAGGGGTTATTATGGACCTCGAATCGCATTTTTTGTGAATCAACAGGAGTCCAGTAGGGTAGTCAAAATAACATTACAAGGAATTTGAACAACTTCAACTAACTATACACACTTCGCAGGTGATTGATTGTGTTCCAGGCTGTGAGGAAACATTGGCTTTACACGGTAGTAGACAGTACACGCAAATCCACTTTTAGTTTTGTTTGAATGCTCTGTATAAAACATTGTCATCTGTTTATGCTCCAAGGACTCAGCATGGAAGCCTTGAAGGGCATCATTCGCCTTTGTGAGGTTCCCAATTGCAGTGGGAATATGACAAACCGTCTTCGAACAGAACGCATCTTGGGCCATTTGGGGTACTCCAAGGAGGACATCGCCATGATTATGGCCAAGTTTTCGAAGGCCAAATTTCTTGGACAAACCGTTCTCTTGGACAAACCTTTGATTTGATAGCTGTTATATTTTGCATTATAATTATACATATATACATATATATATATACCTAATTTATATATAAGTTATATGTGAATCTATCGTCTGAACGTTTTTCCTCCAGGCCAAAGATGATGAGAATGATGGTGAGAAGGATGTGGGTGAAGCTGGTGAGGATGCAATGTGTGAGGCGGCGATGCTTGCCAAGCTGCTTGGCAAAATGGAGGCAGAGAAGACCGATCAAAAGCAGGGGGAGGGTGAGGGTGTGCAGGAGCCCCCCGCAGAAGCGGCAGCGTGTGGGCTCCAGTGAGGACACATTGCCAACATCTTCTTCGAACAGCGGACCATCAAATGGATCTGACTTCAAACAGTTGACTGAACAGGTGGATCTTGAAGCTGAACTACCTCCTGGCTGTCGGCTTGGGGTCTACCAAGGGAGTGGATCCCCTTATGTTCAAGGCCAGCTACCAGTTGGCTGCAAGCATCGTGGAAGGAACACGCATTCCCGATCTTTTGACATCGAGGGGAAGGGGTCATCAAATCCCAAGAGGGCACATCTCACTGAGCAAGCAGCCAAGGCACAGGTGGTGTCATGGCTATGGGGGGTGGTGGAACTCGAAAGAGGGTTCTGCAGGGGCATGAGAAGAGGTGATCTGGTGGTGGGAAGAGGGGGTGATGGTCAGTGAGTGATGTGACAATTTGTGTGAAATTTATGTGATTGAAATCAATTCCTTTTATGTAAACCACGCTACTATGATTTGTGATTGAAATAACTTCCATTTCCTAAAATATATCCCTCAGCTCACCGCCACAGTGATGACCACTGTACTGCACTGGGGTGGATGCAGAAAAGTGTGTTGCAGCGCTTGATTCATGGAACGTTATCTTACACAAAAAACAGTTTAGATGGGCACATACTGCTGAGAGGGTACAAGAACCTGCAGCAAGCCCGTTGAAAGGGATCGAGGATCGATCCCTTTCTTCTGATCATTCTGATCCTCTCCACTTTCCACACTTGGCGCCATGGGTCATGGCAGGATACCTTGCGGTTGACCTACCTACCTTCTATACCTATCTATACAGTCCAACGGTTGTTCGTTGCGGGATGTGGACTGGTCGGGCTCCTTCGGTGCCATGACTCCAGGTCCATGACGACTCGGAGTCAGGACCATCAACCCCCCCTTGGAGTCAGAGGTTCTTCAATTCAACTCGGGGGGGTGATTAATCCATGACCCCAGTTCACCATACCGGCTAGAGAGTGTGGTTGTTCTAATCAAGTCCATACCGATCCCCACTTCTAACACTCTTCAGCCCACCAGAGCCAGACTCCGGACACCCGGTCGACCGGGACGTGGAACCGGTGAATCGACCACCCCGCCCCGCTCCACCTGAGCCCAGCTGTGCCGCACTCTGCAGCGCCTGTAGGACCTTGTGCTGCGGCGACCGCGGGGTCGCGGTGATTCTCTTCGGTTGGGGTGCGTCAACAAAAACAGAAGGTTGAACAAACAAAGAGTAACATGGGCGTGATAGCATGGATGTAAACATGTACAAATAAACCAAAACAATCCGTTGGATATCGTTGTATACAGTGAACATCCTGAACAAATACACAGCTGCAAAGGCCCTAAGGGGCCCTAAACGTGTTGGAACATGTTTCGTAGCGACTATCTATCTGTCTATCTATCTGTCTGTTTGACTTCCTACATTGAGGTATGTTCGGCAAAGAACTGGACTGCAATCTCTGCCGGCGCCGCTCCAAAATCATCTGCAGGCGGGCAAAGTGTCTCGTATGTCTTGGTTCCCGTACTTCAGTGGTCCTCAAATAGTGTTGACTGTCCACACGGCCCACCTGGACGGAAACATGGGCCGTTTATGCCGAGCGTTGTTCTGCTGCTTTTGGGGATGGGCAAAACGCCAACATGGGCCAAAGGAATAGCTGTGGGCCATGGGGAATTATCGGGATACGTTACTGGATGCGTTTTGGAGATTCTGTCAAAGCTCCTGCCTCCAAATGAGAGCCGACAGTGAAAATGAAAGGACAAACACAAGCCTGCGCAAACAAAATGCTTCTTGAATTTGAATGAGCACCACTGGATGAAGTACAGCCTAGAAGGGCCTAGAATGCAAAGGACGTGTTCTAAGAGTAGACTCTCAGATACTCTAAGGGTCTATTCTGACACATCCCCAAATGCTTCGCAAAGCCGTGTCTCGAACCAACGATCCAGCATGCCTTTTGGCGACCGTGAAAAGGGGGCTCCAGACACTTGGGTAGTCTGACTTACCCCGTCCAAATACCATGGAAATCTGCACCAAGAACCAAACATCTTGCCCCAAGATATACAATCTACTTGCGATATGGCCTCCAACCGGACTGAACGATGGCCTCCACCCCAGTAGCGATGGCCTCCAACCTCCCCAAGATAAACAATTTTTCAGTTGGGCTCCTCTACCCAAACCCTCGGAGCTCAATCACCCGGGAATTCCTGGCCCCTGGCACCCCCACAACTTGCGGCCAGTTCAGCAAGCGACCCAAACAACTTGCCATCGCTCGACCCAAAGTAGCATAGACATAAACCTCGCCTTCGCCAGGGAGCACAAGATATTACAACAACTTCGAGCTGTCTCCACGTCCTGAAAACTGGGCTTGACGAGGAGACCGCCACAGATCTGCGAAATGCGAAGTGGAGACCGCTCCACTTTGGAAACCGCGGCGGTTGAAACCGCCGCGTGCGGGGCGGGTCCCAGTTTGGGGGGGGTGGAGCATTGACTGATGCTTGAAGTGGATGGAGGCATATGGAGGCCACAGTTAGATGTTGGAGTTGTGTTTGGTGAGGATTGAATAATACAGAACACGGGACCCTAGCTTGGAGACCTCTCCGGCGGTGGCTCCGGCGCTGGTCTGTAACTGTAACCCATGGTGCACTATAACTTAAATACTGAAACACATAAATCATTACAAACTATTTTAAATCAATCACACCTCACGAGCCTCTAGAACTGGTGGCAGTTGGTGGCCCTCTGGATCGCAGTTCCTGTTTTTCTTCGACTCCAGGGCTGGTGAAGCGAGACCACGAGACCGAAGTCCGGCAAAGCCAAGCTCTTGATGAAATATATAGGTCTATAGCACTGACCCCATAAGAAGGACTTGTTGGAAAATCAATTACACCAATACCGAAGGGCATAAGGACATGGGCATATGGAGCTGGGCATAATAAACCGGGCAAACGCACCTCAGACTAACACGGAACCTGAGAATTGACCGGTGGTTTCGACCATTTTCCGAATACCAACCCAGTGGTTTTGGGGTTGCCATGTGGTCCGAATAGTAGGGAAGTAATCGAACTGTTCACCCGTTACTTTAGTTTAGTGATCAGTGCAGAAGCCAAGTCCCAAACAATGTGAAAGGTTCTGTACACTTTTCCTGGGTGGAGCCTTGGTGCAAGAATTGTGTTGTTTCCAAAAGAAGGAGGATGTTTGTAGTTTCTCCACAAAATTCCACCAAGAGATTTTTGGATGTCCATTCCCAAACATCTGTAAACAATTAGTAAACAATAGTAGACATATATATGACATAAAACTGATTGACCATCCGTGGCTTGTATGATAGACATTCATATCAAATGATTCCCTTCAACTTTGTCCAAGTTCCAGGGTTTCGCAGGTCCAGTGCTTCGTTGGAACTCCTCCCGGAGGCTCCGAACGGGTCCCACGGAGTGGCCAACAAAAACGCGGAGTGGCCAGACGGTCCGCGGCGAAAGACGTCTGTTTGTCGTCCTGGCAGCGGACAGCCATCTGCAAGGTCAAAGACATGAGTTGCGTGCCGCCCATCACGAGCAATTCTTGGCCCAGCAAGGGCTCTAAAGACATCTCCTGAAGAGGCAGTCTTCTTGAAATTCGCAGCGAAGTGATTGGTCTTCTTGAAATCCCATGGGAGCATTGGGAAGCGGTCTGTGCAGTACACAAACACTCCATCTATGACATATTTACATATATTGGGGTCATTGGGGTGTTTTCAGGGTTCAATGTATGCATATGTTCCAGTCTCACGGAATGCGTGGCGTATGGATACAAAATGATACAAACATGTATACAAACCAATTGAAACACCGACAACACTTTCTGGTCGACCAAAGATTGGGTTCGGACCCCCAAAATCAACCCGACTTGTCATGTTGAACATCATTTCATCAACCCCTTTTCACCTCCCCTGAAACAGCGGCTGCCGGCTGTGCTCACACCCAGACGCTCCGTTGATTCACAGCCCAAGAGCCGTCGTCCCGCAAGACCAGGATTGGTTCGGGTCCGGAGGGTCCAAAACCCCGGACAACCCTCCTGACCGGGGGCGGCCTCCAGTCATACTAACCTGAGGTTCGGTGGGACGGGGGGGCCCGGGTGCCAGGAGGGTCCAGTTATACCCTCAGGAGGTGGAGGGCGAATCAGAAGGTCCTTTGAGGTGCCAAACAACTCGGCGACCGGGCGATGGCTTTTTCTCGGTCGCACCACCGGTCGATGGCTTTTTGGCTTGGGTTCTTTTCGATGCTTTCCCGCAGTGTTCATGGACAAGTCAGTTCGGTTCAGGAAACCATGGAGAAAACTCTTTGGGTAGCATTTATTGTTTCTACTAGCTTCTTGTTACTAGTAGTAAGGCACTTGCTCCTAGTAGCGATGCCCTTTGCTCCTAGTAGCGTCCTTGTTCATGTCTTTTAGCATTTCAATATGCAATATGCATGTAGAAATTCCGTCAACCAGAGGGCAATGGTGTTCCCGTCTGCAGGCCTTTCTCCCATCTCCACTGAGATCATGACACACTCGACCACGTCGACTGCACGGCTGGCTCTACAGCTTTTGGAAGAGTCGACCAAGTCGACCCAGCCGTCGGATCGACTCACCCGGCTCCAGACGGTATGTGAGGAACCGCAACCCGCCTGCCTGTCTTCGCGAAGGAATAGGGACGAAAAATGGATGGAAGATGTATATGTACGTGCAATTTTTGCCACTCAATTGACTTCACAGGCCTTCTCATCCAATTCCGTACCTGTCAGAATATGGAATCCACCCACAAAGGTTCACTCTTCTAAACTCCGCTCCCTTCCCCCGGTTCCCTTCCGGCCGGTCGCTCCCCTGAACCCCCGCGCTTCACTAGCCCCACCATATCCACCATCCACCGCTCCTGCAGCAGAGCCGAGGCCTCCTGCAGCAGCGGGGGCGCTTGACCACACTGCGCCAAGCGCTGCGCGCAGCAGCGCAGTAGCTGAGGCGCCTGGACGGAACAAGACGGACTCTCTCGGACGCAAGGTGTCCAGTGTTGGCATCTGGAGAATCTCTTTCTTGGCCAGAACATGCCAGAACCACTCACCAGTTGCTGTGGCGATGTGTCACTCTTTTTAACCAGCTGCAGGTGAGATTCATGTGTCACCCTGACCCTCGGAGGGGGGGGGGAAGATGTTGGGATCGCTGGCTGGGATCGAGACCACCCGACAGAGGCGACCGATCAACGTGGCGCGGTTGGCATCTGGCGAAGGTCAGGTGGCTTCCAAGCTCGGAGGGGAGAGGCAAAGCACGGAAAGGCTGGCACGGAGAGACCGCCTGGCCTTTGCCTTCGGGAAGGGCCTTGTGGTGTTCTTGTGAAGTGGTGTTCTTGTGCATAACATGCTGAGCATCAAATGCTGCGAATTGCTCAGGTGGCACGGATTGTTAATTCTGATCAAAGAACTCAACTGTGGTGAAAGAGTATAACCATGAGGAGATTCCTTAAGTGATGTCGCACAATCAGCCAATGTGGAACTACGTAGGACGAATTCGGGAATCCACAAATATCCAGTGTCCTCGGGTCTTGCAAAAGTTGCGTGTCCCCTGGATAGCCATCTGCTCTTCATGAACATACCCTAAGGACCCAGAACCATCCTGGATCCAAGTCCTTTGGCCCCCAGAGAGACCCTTCTCTTATGGTCTTGACGTTCGACTCTCCGAGGTACAGGTACCTGCGACCTGATCCATGGCCAATGTATCCTCCTCCTTCACCTTTGTCTCAAAAAAGAATAGCTCAGACGGGTGTGTAGCTCAACTAGGGAGACCGACGCAACGCCCCCCTGGGTTCGTTTTCCGGAACAGGTCGACCCGTCTACGGAGCGAGACCCGGGTGTCTCCCGGTCCCATCGGACCCCGAACGTACCTCGTCCAGTGGGCCCTGGTTGTTGCGCCAGCAGGTGTTGTCCTGGGCGAGTGGATGGAAAGGCCTGGAATTGGCCGCGTTCCGTGGCCCCAGGAACACGGAAAAGATCAACCCCGACCAACCCGGGGGGGGTCCTGTCTGGAGATCAATAGTGAAAGGGCTTCCAGCCAGGTGTTCTCGGTGCTGGAAGGTGCTGGAATTCGGAATGGAACAGATGGTTCCTGGTCCCAGGTGGGACAGGGTGGGACACAATACTGACCCTACTAATGTAAATGGATATAGACTCTTGACAAACATCAACAACATTTCATGAGGTTTTACAATCCATGTCTGGGGGTTTATGAATCAAGAGTATGCAGTATACTAATAAATTGATGTAATTGATGTGCCAAATGATGCCAAATGCCATCGCTTTGAGAAGGTGGTTCTTCAGTCAGGATGGGTATAGATTCTGGTCCGACAGAACGACCGCAGACCGCAGTGGAGAGATACAGTAACAGGAACACCGTCGGTCAAGACAACATGCGTTGATTTCGGCCAACAAATATCCAGATCCACCACCCTTGCTACAGAAAACGGCTCTTCACCATCTCTTCTAGTCCAAGAGACGAGCATCAATGAAACAGGATGAACAGCAGGATTCCCGTTCTGACTCCAAACCGTGCTTCTCTCCCACCCGACCCCGACATACGAGCTCCTATTCACCGTTCGACCAAGCAAAAACCCAACCGCACGCCAGCATCGCGCCCTGGGCATCGCTCCTTCCGAAGCACCTGCAGCAGCGCCAGCAAGACCTGGCGCCGCCCGGGCGAGCTCTGGAGGCGAAGGAGGCGAACAGCGAAGGAGCTGGCTGAGCGGAGCGTGATCCGGGAGCTGGCTGGTGTGGCCAACTGGTTGGCCGAACGGAGCTCCAAGAAAACACCGAGACATATTTAGACATGATGTCGAAGGCAAAGAGATGAAACTCAGGGTGGGCAGAGAGGGTTTGTTGTTTGGATTCATTCATGTGTTCACAACCCACAAAATACGCTCAACAAGAAGACAAGTACATGTGCATGATGTCTTCCTTTGATTTCCTTTGGTGTTCCGTAACTTGCGGACTGATCTCTTCCTTGGGTGTTCCGTTGGTTCCTTCGGTTTTCCATGTCTTCCTTGTTCTGCTCGTGATACAGCTCTCATGCCGACGCAGGACTCAAAGACTCAATTGTGGCGACTGGTCTGACATCACCTTGTGCCGGGAGATTCGATCGCTCACAGGTCTCAGCCGCTCACAAAAGAAGTCAATGCTGTTGCCATGGGGTTCCCCGCGTCTTCCGTTCCTTCGCTTTCACCATCTTTCACCCAAAACCTCTCACAACCTCTCCACTGGCCAAACACCAAGCGCTTACACTCGCAGAAGTGGCCTCTGCCGGAAGTGGCTCCGTTTCTGAGCAGACGGTGATGTCGCACCAGCGGATCAGTCAGTCAAGAGGTTCAACGAAATGCAATGCCAATGAGTTGAGTAGATCCTGCATGCCCTTACAATAACACAATAGCAAAGGGGCCCTTAGAGGATTGTGACCCAAGCTCTTTTGGCCCTCTTTTGGCCTTCACGAGCACCCCCAGCTTGGTGATCCGATCCGAAAGCAAGACGGAACATCATGTCGATTCCACCCTTTTGCGAAGAACAGTCCCGGACAGTGTTGAACTTGCTGACTATAACTCCCCTAGTAGCGTCCTTGCTCCTAGTAGCGATGCCAGGAGCCCCTAGTAGCTTCTTGTTCCTAGTAGTACGGCCAGGAGCCCCTAGTAGCGTCCTACTCACTCCGCGAAACCAGATGACCATGATGACCTCACACAAGGTTTCGGCTTGGAAAGGGTCTGAAGATTGCCCATGCCTTGAGGGACCACCACCGTCAGGGTGGGCCCCAGAGTAATTACCAAATTAACATGTACTCGATCGACTTCTGGTCACTCCAAGCGCCGACTTTCGTACACTTCCCTCACCACCATTCACAACAAACTAGGCCAGCTGGGGTTATGGGTGACCCCAACATTATATTGGACAGGAATAGTCCGAACCGAAGGTGGTTGGGGGTGGCTGCCAGGGGGGCCTCTCCATACCTTCTGAGGATGTGGGCCAGGAGCCCTAGGCATCTATTGAGTCCTGAAACCACTCCAAAAGTAGGGTTTCATATGCCAGTCCCATCGTGGTGGACGCCTGCGTCGGAAATTCCCCCCCGACCTCTCACCAATCTGCTCTACTTTGCGCTGAGCGTCGGAGAAGTTGGAGAAGACCGTGCACCCCTCCAATCATGCCTTGGGTGACAGGCAAGCACTGGCAAGAAGCAAGAAACGCCCTTCAATGGTACACACGTTGGAAATCTCATTTGGCTCGCCATGTTGAGTTGCTGAACACCACAAATTGCTGCAAGATTTGGGGCAAACTAACATGTTTCTCAAACACCGAACCCCGGAAATTTCAACATCAACCATTCACACAGGCCCACAGGACCTTGCAGGCATGGAACGCAACAACCAAATGCAGCAGTCAACGTGCTCCCTGTGAGAGCAGTACACCTCAGTGGACGGCTTCACCACGCGTCAGTGGAGTGACGTCGATCGAACTTGTTTGGTTGAAATATCTGTCTTTGAGTGAAAATCTGCCCGCAAATTCGCGGTTCAGCCGGCAGTTCCAAAAGGGTGCTGAATGGAGGATAGGTGTGCCCATGATCAAATCACGGTCTAAAACCCACCCGTTTGGAACTCCTGGACTCCATTCTGGCTCCAACCGGGACCGATACCGGAAACCCACCACCGAACCTGAACGGAGGTAAGCCAGCCCTAGGGGCCCTAGGGGTCAATTCTTGAAATCCCTGCACAAATCATGCTCCACCAGACCATCTGGTTGAATTATATATGTTGTAGGTCGTTGGGTCGTAATCTGCTAATATCTGCTAATTATGTCAAATCTGAAGTAAGAGTTAGGTCGCTGAAATGATGAACACATGTTTTTGGGCCCCAACACATTGGGCCACCCTGGAACAGTGGGGTCATGCGGTCACCAAAAGCCTCTTTACTTAAAAATCACGGCTAGGCGGGGCCCAAATGGCTACACCGACTGGTGCAGGCACCAATAGAAGGGTTTCTCAATGTTTCTCACTTTACTCAGTACATCCCCGATGTGAATCATGGTGCAAATCTTAAATCACATGCATTCCAAATAACCATAATTACTACGACTATGAAATACATATTCACGAGACATGACGTGATCCCTCCCAACATATCACAAAACACTCACCCGCCCCGTGTAGACGCAGGCCCACTCCATTGAGTTCACTGCTCCTCATCTCTTCCTCATCTCTTCATCCCCTATGAAATTTCACGTTTTCTTGGTATCTTGATTCCCTAAAGTGTTTAAGCTTTCAACAAAAAGCTGGCCCTGACTCTTCCTCTCAAAGAAACCCCCACGCTGAGTGTCGGCGCCACCAAGGACTCTTGCAGAGCCTGTTGTCCACCCGCGTCCCGAATCCACCCGGAGACCAGCGGATTGTTGTGCGCCTCGGCCGAGTGCACCGGGGGCGAAAGGAAGGAACGCCCTACCAGGAGCCTCCAAGGGGATGGTATACAGCCTACAGCTAGGCTAGTAGTCTATATTGGAGACCCCGACAGGCCCTTGGAGGGTCATAGGTGGAGTTGTGAAAGAAAACGCATACCGAAGGGGTGTTGATGGAAAAAGAGATGAAGCAAGAGTGGACCATGTGAGATTTTGGATCTGCCCTCCTGCAAATAATTCTATTCTGTTAGCTATAGGTTGTGCAGGATGTCTTGTCCAAACTCGTGTCGCAGAATGGGAGGAAACAGCTTACACTCCTGGAATCACTCCAAACTACCTGCCCGACAAAGTATCAAGCATCCTACCCACAACACTCCCTATAACCCTAAACCCACACGCAAAAACTGCAATGTCAACCACCTCTTTACGTTTTTGGTCCATCTCTTTAAAGCCAAGTCAATCAAGCCACCCTCCATGAATCACTTGCAGTGCGTCCTCCACGAGGTCGTGCGTCCATCTCTTTCGCTTCTCCGGTGCTGGGTGCCCCAAGCCATCTCGTTGAGCGCCCAGGCAGCGTCTAAGGCCAACTCCGGGCTTTGCTTCGAGATGAGCGCCTGGACGCCGAAGATCGCCGAAGCCGGACCGGGTGTCAGCGGGCTTTTGTGCACGCTGTTGGCGGTGGTTGGTTTGGTTCCGAAGAGGGAAGACCGATGTTGCGGAAGGTTGGCGGATGCGGTGGTTAGAAAACATCGAATACATTCGGATTTCGTGCCAGGTGCCGTCCTGTGCGAAAAAGTGGTGTCCGGAATGGGTCGTATGAAGGAATGTTTTAATTATGGGTTGAGAGTTCTTTCTGGGAACCCCATCATGATCTTCTTCTGAGCTTCTTCTGAGGATATGGATACTGTGGCCAGAGCTTCCTGTGAACCTCCCAGTCCACATCCTAAGAATCCCCAATCCAAACGACTGGAAAACCCTCACTGATCTGTGAAACATACACATGTATTGAATGCTTTTCACCATAGACTGACTCCTTCTCAACCACTGCGTCCATTTAACGGTCCAGGTGCCCGTCAGGTCCGTAACGGCATGCGACGCATCGGATCCTTCGAAGCGAAAAGTGATGAACCGGCACGGCATGGCATGAACATACCCCACCGGAGGGCCCAAACCTAACATTCATCGGACCCCGCCATTTTCCGGACTGTTACTGCAGATGAAAACGAACACACGGGTCACCTTTGGAAGTGTGACCGTGAAAGCAAAGGGACTTGTGAAAGAGAAGAACACCGAAACAAAGTGTCAAACCGCATGACTCTTGGCATTTTGCTAAGCTGCCTGGATGAGCAACTTCACACAACCGATCACCTGCTCCTGACGAGCAAAAGAAGAGCTGTTGGAGCTGACCGCTGTTGGGATCTGCTGGGTAGAGTACCTCAAAGATCTGTTGGTAAAGAGGTAAAGGGATGTAAAAGGACCAATCATAAGAGGACCAGTCAACTAAACCATGGCTGCTATGACAAAAATTGACACTTCCACACTTCTTGTCTTGTTCGTGCCCAGGACTGCACAAAATCTCAATCTTTCAGACAGGAAAAACATCTTCACTGCTCACTACCATGTAGTTTCAGAGGAAAAACGTTGCCAAGAGTTTGAGGGGATGTGGTGTTGCCGTGGGACTGTAGATAAACCTCCGATGAGATTCTGCAACACACAATAGAAACCTGTAAGGTGGTTTAAAAGGAATCTGTTCAACCCTAAGAATCATTGGCCTTGAACTCACTTCCTAGCAAAGGTCAAACCCTCCACAGGAGGGGTCCGATCCCTCAAAATTTGAGGGCCCGATTCTTGAGCAATATCAGGGAACGGTTGGTCCACTCATTTTGGGAACATCACCTCTTTCGGAGCTGAGTAGAAAGACCCAAAGGGTTCTCATTCATGGACTCCTTTTCGAGTCATACATAGTTGATTTGTCTAGGTAAAGTAGAATTCCATAGAATTCCCCAACTCCACTGATGATATTGGGTGAGCCTATTCAGGCCCTTTCCCCCAAAAAAAAATCGCTGCATGTGGCCGACCTACGAGTCCTACCATGCCATACACCCCCCAAACACACTACTACAGCCCCCAGGTGTAACACCATGATGGTGTCCAATGGCCACGCCCACAGGTCACTTGGGCGTCGATGTCTTCCCGAACCAAGCAGGCGCCGCTTCGCCGCGAGGACGCGACACCGTCGAGACGCGGTGGTTCCGGTCTTGACAAAGTCGCACGGCATTCGACACCAGCTCCGCTGTCGCCTGGCGGTCGCCCGATCTCGGGGAGACCGGGATCTGTGTGGAGAGCCAGCCTCTCCGAGTCAGGACTTGGAGATGGAGTCTATTTGGAGGTTTGAGAATGTTTTATAACATCTCAATATATAATCATCCTGGCGTATAGAATCTACTTTCGTAGGGGGTGTTTTTCCTTTTGAAAAACTCAATGTTTTTGACATCCCTTTCATTGTATGAAGACAGACTGACCCTATAGATAGAATATAGTGATAAGATTCTTATCAACTCCTCCCATTCCGGTATTTGTTCCTTTGTTATTTTCATGGTCTGTTCCTATGTGTATTATCTAAGTTTTCCTTGCGTTTTACTTTTCTTTAGGACGAAAGAACATAGAACGAACAGAGAAGGAAAAGGACAACAAAGGAAAAGGAAGAGAAACCCCTACAACCATATTCTATCTATGGGGTTTGGAAGGGCCGGTTTTGATTAGTGAATTGTTTTTTGACAATTCGTCCATTCTATCTACTCCAGGATGATTGTATATTTAAATACAATAGCCTATGAAATGGATTGAAATGGATTCCTGGTCAGTCAGCATTGATGTCATGGCCTGAATACTTAAGAAACACGTGTTTTACTGAGGCTTCTACACTGCCCCTTTGTGAGGGTGATGTCGTGTTTTTTAACGTAGGTGCCAGGAGGGTCCCAAGAGTTCGGGCTTGTAGGAGTAGCCAAGCACAAACCTCGGAACTCCGTTTTGCCGCACTCAACCAATGCCCGTGCGGTGTGTCAACTCAGAAACTACATCGGTGGCAGATTGTTTGCCCGTGATGCGTCGAATGGGACAATGGTGCGTAGTAGGTTGCGATTTAGCTTTGGGAATAGCTGTAGCTGAAGCGGAAGAGGTAGAAGACAAAATACACGTTGTCCTTTTTAAATTGTTGCAACGATCCTTCCACTTCCAAGTTCGAACTATTGCATTGCGAACAGGTGATGAGTCCCTCATTGGGACCAGCAGTTTTTCCAAGTTTACGATTCCAGCTTAAACTATGGCCACCGGCATTATACTTAGTCAAAAGTTCTGTGAATGCTACATCTAGGCGATGCTCACTGGTCATCTGTCCAGGAGTGCTGAGGTACTCTGCCGGCGTCTTATGTGCAAAAGGACACTTGGATTTAGTGATTTTTAATCGGATATGTTTCAGGTTGGAGACGTGCCTGCCACACTTGCGACACCACATTCCCCCATTTTCTTTTGGGGCCAAAGCATGCCCATTGGAGTCACGAACAACATCGGTAGAAGAGGAAGGCGCAGGTGGATTGTTCGGAGGTTGATCATTAAGATCTTCAGAATAAAATCTTCGAATATGTTGTTGCCAAATCTGGGTAAGCACTTGCTGCAAAAGAAAAACCTCGGGATCCGTCAGAGGACTAGTTTTTAAAGTGATAGCAGCATACTTACCTAGAAAACCCAAGTATGCAAAAAAATGTAATCGTGTTCTTTTCCGGTAAAAAAGGTCATCTCAGCCAAGAAACGTCATTGTTTTGTAAAATTGTAGTTGCTACGATCAAGCCAGTGGAGCGTATGCAATATTCATTTTTTTCAGCTGCTTCCAATCCTAAATCCAGCCTCTTCTTACACCAAAAGGTAGTTTTTCACCTAAACTTAGGCTGTTTGAGTTGGTTCCGGCGAAAGTGCAAGGATACACCGTACCTTTCGATGGCCCTTAGGATCACCTGCTTGTTTGCAACCTGTCTACTGACACGGCTGATTCTCCCAATAATAAGAACTTTGTTGGCTGCACAATGCCATTTAACTGACACGCAAAATTTGGACAGTTTGACAATTTCTCTCGTCTCAAAAGTGGTGTGAGAAAAATTTGGCGTTTGGGCCGAAGTCATACACAACCTGTAACGCAGTGCGAGCCCCTCTTAAGGAATCGAAACAACTACTACAGCGAGTTAGCTGTGCTTTGCTCCTGCAACTGCTGGAGAAGGGTGTCTTCCTCATCAGGGCGCTGCGCAACATCATGTGTCGGGCAGGGCGTGCCTTCAAAGCCCTCACCTCACACAGAGTGGCGCAGCTCGAAGCCAAGGAGTTGATAGGAGCAGGCGTGGCCACATCAAAGGAAACCTGCATGTACCAATGTACCAGAGGCCCCTGAAACAGCAAAAATTTATACATTCAAAACATCCAAACCGTGTCCGGCAATTTCCGCAATTTTTCCGGTGATTTCCGTCATTTGGACGGTAAATTCCGTAATTGTTTTTCGGCCACTCCTGCATGGAAGTTTAAATGTCCACTGAAAAAACGTAAATCTCAGCGATTGCAGATCGAGCTAGGTTCTGTTTTCCCTCCCCCCAAGCGTTTCTCTATTATTCAGCTTTGAATGATCACCGCAACTTATCCGAATCTTCCAGGCAAGATGGAATCAAGGCATTCCACGACAGGCTGTTGGGATAATTTGACGCATCTCAAACACAGCATGCTCAGTGAAATTGGCTTCTGTCAGGTCGATTTCCAGGGCCTTCGCTTCGAAGTTCTTCGAGGGCAAAGGCAGAGGAGCTTTTCAACGTCTTGAAGTTTTGGCCACTCTAACCATGACTGTGAACTAAATAGATAGAGCTCGACCACTTTGAAATGGTTTCGATGGCGATATGGATCTTGCAAAACGGGGAAGTTGCAATTAGTGCGCAGGGGGCATCATGTATCATCTAAATGCCCTCTGGTGATTGCAACATCCTCTGTGTACAGAAAGTAAGTACTGGCGCCCTGTTCATTTGCCCACAAAACGAGCGTTTCGTACGAGACTTCCTCGAAAACTCACATGTCAAAGTCTGCAAAACGAGCGTTTCGTACGAGACTTCCTCCAAAAGTCAAGCGGAAACACCCATCGGGGTACACACATCACGCAGCCCTGCCAAGCAGTTTCGCGGTTCCAGCCCCTCCAAACCACACCCGCTCACACGCCAATCCCAATGTGACAGCGACGCCCACATCTACCACAACTCACAACCTCACGATTCCCTGCGCCTGCCACGAATCTTTCCGCGTCCACACGTCTAACGCGCACAAAGTACTGCGCCTGCCACGAAAAATACGAAAAGTGACAATATTACATCTCATGTGAGCTTCAGCAAAATTTGCACCACACCACACGTTTGGAATGATTTCGACCCGTTCTGAGCACACTCCCATCCACCAAAATCGCCGTTTCGGCTGAGACTCCTCACGAAAACAGAGCTTCGATGCCACACCCTGAAACACAAATCCCAATGGCACGGCCACATCCAACACCCAAAAACACGACTCTCCAAACGCTAATCCCAATGGAACTGCGCAGCAAACTGCAGATCTCACAAAACGCTGCGCCTGTGCAGTGAAATCATCCTCCTCACTTCAACATCTTACATTTCCACACGATTCCTCGCTATTTCACACGAATCTGACACGTCACGTTTTCATCCGAAACCCTCTCCAAAAGCTTACCCCAATGGCAGCGCCTTAGCGTCCTACTGCGGACGGTTGCGAACGGTTGCGGACGGTTGCGGACGGTTGCGGACGGTTGCGAACGGTTGCGGACGGTTGCGGACGGTTGCGGACGGTTGCGGACGGTTGCGAACGGTTGCGGACGGTTGCGGACGGTTGCGGACGGTTGCGAACGGTTGCGGACGGTTGCGAACTTAGAAACAACGGGTCGCGAACAAGGCTCTACCCCCAGACCCCCAGAGTTAAACGAGAACCCTTCGCTACGCACTCGGGAAAAACACTTGAGTTGAAAAGAATCGGATAATGCAAAGCTCAAACGTCTTCGACGCTTGAAACGAACTCTGCGTTTGCCAATCTTGCGGCAAGGTTTGATGAACCTACGTCTGCGCCTGTTCGAAGCCAAGCACCATGCAAAAATTTGTTGTGGAAAGCAAAGCGAAGTTGGGAGAATTCGAGGAAATGAAAGTCGACACTGAAATGCACAAAGCATCTGCAAGCACAAAGTGCCTAGCAAAGACATCACAGGAGTGCAACAAGCATTGCGTCAAACAAGACATCGTATGCTGTGCTATAAAAGCAGAACGTGCTCCGTCTCATCTCACTGTTCCACGTCATCCCCGGTAAGCACGTAAAGGAGCAGATCGTAGGTGCCGGGGAACAGCACCTATTACTGCTCATGTCGTTGCTGATTGTTCAGTTGTTGATAGCGCCAAGCATTGAGCCCATCAGGTGGCGCGTCTGGTCCCCTTCCAAACCGGGGCCGCCTCCCCCAACCGGCGGCGGCGCCACTTGGGCTACCAGCGGCACGAAGCGCCAGCTCACATACGCGGCCTCTGCGTTGTGACTCTGCAGTTTGACGATTCCGTCGCCCACACCTTTGAGAAGGTGGCCCGTCCGGGAGAGATTGTTTCATTACATCACAACATGGGGCGGAAGTTGGCGGTTTTCATGCAGGACGAATCACTCAACAAGCGCTTGAGTTGTTGCGATTTCGTTTTGTTCCTTTTGTTTTTGTTTTTTTTCTCCTTTTCTGAACATGAATCCTTTGCGGAACAAGGGGAAGGGAGTTGAGCTCAGATGCAGGGAGACCTCTTGCAACACAAAGAGTACATCTGCCTCTGCCCGGCTCCGCCTCGCTCTTCTTGCGCGCGTGTCGCAAATCGCCGGTGGAGCGCCCGCCTTCTGCAGATGGTTGTGGCTCAACTGTGGCACCAGCTTGACCAACATCAGCAGTGCTGATGGGCCTGGCAGCTTGACCAACACGAAGCTCGCGCGTTTGAGCATAGTCCGCGGGGGATTCGAAGGGTGAAAGACATGATCAGAAAAGGCTAGCCTTGGAGATCATGGATTGACAAGGAGGTCATGTTCATGAGAAAAGGGAACATCGTCACCCCTAGAGATTTGCAGGAAAAGTGCCTTCTTACCAGGGGTCACAAGACGGGGTGCCTATTGGAGCTTAGGGGTGCCCAGAACATCCACTCACTGGATGGGACCAAACACCACACTGTCTTGTGA